CTTTCTGGGCCAAGTGGGCAGGGCAAGATCAATGCCAGTGCATGGTGTATAGATGTGGGGCCTGACATCGAAGTGACTGACAATCCCATCATTAATTCAGTTGTGTGTTCCCAACTTTGCCACTTCCCTCCCTCCCACCCTCATATGCACCTTATGTTGCAACCCAGTATAAAAACTATAAGGGAAAAGCAGGAGGCAGTGATACCTAAAATCCCTCTGGAGCCTGGATATGATGTACTATAAGATATCTTTTGGGAGGTCCTTGTTACTAATACAAAGGGAGAGAGTAGATGCAAATGCATACAATGCCCCTGTAGATCTAACCATCAGGGTTGTGGAAGAATGGTCATACAGCTGAGGTATTTGGAGTCATTGTTGCTTCTGGAGCTAAGGGAACTCCTACTGAAGAGACACCGGCAAGGTTGGTGAGTAAGAGCATGTGGATTAGGATCTGGAGTGCAGGACTGGAATTCAGGAGTTCTTGTGCCTAAAGAAGATGCAGCTGTCTGAGGATGCCCAAGGCATTTTGCAGCCTAGAAGGCACTTCTGTGATCTTTCCAAAAGGGAAAATCTCTTGCCATCTGCCATGCTAGGATCTAACACAAATTGCACAGTGGAGCTGGTAAAACCATGTGTTTCCTGTGCTGTAGAACTGGGGGTGATGTGTGCTCAGCTTCCCCACAGGGCTGGTTGATGGTGGATGGCTGTACGGATCACCATATCCTGCATGTGATCTTCTGTGCCCCCAGCTTAGCAGACATGTTTTAGAGAAGTGTCTGTTTCTTTTTTTTTTTTTATGAAAAGGGAGCAGAGGTGCCTGGCTCCTCCTGCTGCACCAACTACACTTGTATTTTGCCCTGGGGGCATTGACTGCACCAGCTGCTTTGAGGAGAATGCAAGTTACTAAGTTCTGCTCCAGTGTGAAAAGGAGCGAGTGGTATTTCCTTCAGCAGCACACAGTCTGTGGATCCACATGATTTCAGTTACATAAGCTTGCTTACTTCATGGCCATTTATTTATTTGAAACTTCCCTCAGACAGCAGGGAAAGTACTGCAGACCCACTGTGAGGCTCTGCAGCTGCAGAGCAGCTCGGCAGGCAGCAGGGAGTGAGTGTGCCTCTGGCTCTGGCAGTGTGTGGCAGCAGCAAGGCCTTTAAGAACAGCTAACTTGGAAGTGTCACTGTGCTGCATTCTCCCCTGCTCTCAAAGAACAGAGTGAAAAGGGTACTGCAACCATCAGCTTGTGTTCATAGGTGGGTTATTTGTTGGATGTGCTGACCTAGCCTCTGCCCCTTCAGGAGGAGCATGGAATAAATCCTTTGCAGGGGGAAATGCACTGGAGCTGCCCACTCAGGATATTTACTTGGCCGTTCCGTGGTGCCACAATTGTCAGTGAGGGGACAGCATTGGATGCTGGAGACCAGGGATACTGCCTCTAAAAAGCTGATGTTCAGGCAGGGCCATCTTGTGCACTCACACTGTCAGTTGCCAGGATTGTGCATAAATGTCCTTGTTTTCTGACATTGCAAACTCAGTCTTGTAAATGTTGGGGAAATAGTCGGTATCTGAATTTTCTGTATCTGCCAATATTTAATTCAGGGAGCAAATAAAAACTATCCTGGTGTTACCAGCTTGTTTGCTTTTTTTGACTTGAAATTGTATGTCTCCATTTTACATGCCTGAGCAGGGCTTCATGTGTAAGTTAAATAACTCGTCACTGCTTTTTGCTCCGATTTTAAGCACACAATAGCCAGGTAGGAAATCAGCACAGCATTGAATTGGTGAAAGTGTTTGATGGTAACTCATGAGCCCTGTTTGCAACTCCTCGAGAACAATTCATTAAAACTTCTGAACTTGGAATACTGAAGTGGGTGAGGTTTGGTTTTGTACAGAATTATGTTGCAAAGATGAACCTTACATCCAAAGAAATCTGTTGTCATTTGTCATTATGGGAATTGATGGGAATGTTGGCTGATACGTCATCTGTCCTCCTGATGCTGGGAAATAAGAACTGGCAGAGGCAGGGAACTGGCAGAGGCAGGTACAGAAAAACCATTTACAAACCAGCTGCAAGACTTGGTAATTTTAAAATCTCCTTGGACATCTCAAGTGGTTTTTTTTTCCTTTTACAGGGTAAAGATGGCTTAAGAATAAATTTAACATGTAGTGCTGTAAATGGCTCAGTTTTGCCAGAAGTTCTTGATTACTTCTGCCAAGTAACAATTCCACTTTTGTTTTTTCCACATTCCTTCCTCCTTTGCTCCAACTTTGTGGTATGAGCTGCTTTTTACCTGAGAGTTAAAATCCAAGGGAAGAATGTTGCTCTATGGCCACATCCTTCAGGCGTTGGTAGTGTGTGTGGTGGGGTGGTTTTACAGATGCCAAGAATAGAGTAGCAAAAAGAAAACAAATTAGAACACTTGATACTCTCTAAGGTGGAGTTCTGGCATGGTGCAGCATCCTTATGTACTGATACGTGTTGTACTTTTTAAAGGAGCATTTATTCCATTGCTGAAGTGTAGGGTGGGCTTGGTGCTTTGTTGTTGCTTCAGTCAAGATGTTTTTTTTGTTTGCAAGACTAGAAATGCCTTTGAGAGCAATCTTGAATGTGGATCCTTGCTGCCCGTCTCTGAGCAATGTAAGCAGTACTTTATTTTACTAAGGCTATAATAATCAACTTGTCTGCCTTCCCATCTGACAGGAAGAGAAGGAGGGAAGGAAGGGAAGGAAAGGAATGAAGGAAGGAACGAATGAACGAACTTGGTGTTCCTCCATGAAACCTACAACTTCAGTTAACGATAGTAACCCTTTTAAAAGGAGATAATAATTTGGTTTTGCTTAAAGGTGTAAGTGATAGAACTCAACTACATCCACCTCTGCTTTGGGCTGTTCCAAGATGCACTAAAATGTCTGAAGCCTGTGTACTCTGTAAGGAGGAGCAATGTTATCAATGCTGCAATTTTTAAGTTGCCGTAATTGCAAAAATAAGCCAACAGGCAGTTCAAAAACTCTTCCTTGTGGACCTTGGAGTGCACAGCACAATCCCCTCCTGCTAATTTCTTTGGCACTGTGTTCTTAACTCCCATTCAGTGAGTCATACAGCACAAGGCCTCTGTGAGCAGTGAAACTGATCTATCATTGAGTCTATTCAGTCACTTGGCCTGTTTTAAAAGAAAAGGCAGCTGTAGCAATGAGATTTCATCTACTACCACCCTGAGCTGCATGTGCTCCCTTGGGAGCTCAGCACTACCAAAAATGGCCCTTTTGGTAACAAAGGTGTCTGATGTGTACAATACAGGCTCCAAGGTGCATCCATGGCTGTGCTGTGAGGTGGGTGAGACAGTGGGCCTGCCAGGGACACACTGGGATTCTTCCACACGTGCCTGCTTTTGGGGCAGGGAGGTGTTGCAAAATGACATTAAGATTAGCTCTGTCAGGGTTGACACAGGAAGAAGCAACTTAAACTAAACTTTTCCATTCCTGACCTGGATTCTTCATTCCAGGTACACCAGCTTTTACCACAGAGCTCCGAGCATAAGGAAATCACAATCTTCCAAGAGCTGATGTGGAAACATGGGACAGTCTCAGACCTCTTACAACTTACCTGAGGACTTCCCTGGAATTTTTATTCTTTTTTCAGTTTAATGTCAGGTTCTTCCCCCAGTCTAGCAGTGCTGCCCGGGTTACTAGCAATGCCTGCAGGACTCTTTAATGCATTAGAAGGCTTATTTAGCTCAGCCTGCCTGAGGAACTTGGCTCTGTTCCCTGTAGGATCTCTGTGGCTCCTTTTCCTACGGCAGGAGAGCCTAGTCTGAGGGCTGGTCTAGTCTTGTGCCCTGTGCAGGCCCATGGTGTGGTGCTTCCTCTGCATTTGTTCCTTCTAATCCAGGATGGTGCAAGGCGGTTCTTGCCCTTCCTGTTGGTGGGTGTTCCCAAAACTCCATCCACCCCAGCTTTGCTCTCAGCCACAGCTCTGGGAAACTGCTGATGGAGATGGTTGCTTGGTGCCTGCTGGGTGGTGGCAAGGTGTGCACAGGGGAAACCAGGCAGCCTGAGACTGCTGTGGAACAGAGGCAAGTCCCAGGGGCTGGGGTCACAGTGCTGATGGCTACAGGTAAGAATGTGCTGGGAGATAGAGGATGGGAAGAAACCACACAGCCAAAAAGGGTGCCCAGTTGAAGAAGCCATGGTATATGGAGCAGAGGATTCTCAAAGAGCAAAGAGTCTGCTTGGTGAGGAAAAGGTCTGAGCACTGGGGTTAGTTGTTGGATGGTGACAAGGGCTTCAGAGGGAAGCCTTAGCTGGAGAGGAGCTGGGGTGGGTGGTAGTCCCTGTGTGTGGTGGCCATCTGAGACAGTATGGGGAGCTCAGAGGGGTCTGTGCATGGGAGGACAGGGTGGAGATGGATATGCCTCATGCCAAGCTGTGCTCATGGAGCACATGGCTGGATGAGGAGCGTGGAGAAGGCTGGGAGGTGTGATAAAGGACTAGGGCTGCAGGGATAGAAGGGGAGGCCTGGGGTGTGGACAGAAGTGGAAGCTGTGGGACACAGGAATGACCCTGTGTGTGAAGCAGCATCAGAGGGTGTAAAGGGGGAGTGAAAGCCGAATGGGGTGGGGAGCCTGGGAGAGGTATATTCCCAGCTGGCACTGGGCATGTGGGGGCACGGGGAGCAGCAGGCTGTGACAGGAGGATGTGGATGGAAAGTGTAAATCCCAAGGCACCCACGGGCAGTCCCAGGGGCCGGGCACCCACGCGGGGCACAGCAGCGCGGGGCGGATGGCTGTGTGGGGTCCGTTCCAAATGAGGGTCAGCTCCAGCGAGGGGGGTCTCCTATCGAGTCGGGCTCTGCCTCGGGGACGGGCTGCGGGCCAGCATCGTGGCGGGATCGGGGCCCAAACTCCCGGGCTGCCCGCCGAGCGCGGTCCCGACCCGTGGCGGCTCCCGGGGCCGCTCCCGCGCCGCGGCCCCACGGGGCGCCGGTTCCGGTTCCGGCGGGCGGGGGCCGGGCCGGGACTGGGGGTCCGCGCCGGGGCGGAGGAGGCGGCGGAGGCAGAGGCGGGGGCCTGGCGGCCGGGCAGGGGCGCCATGGCGGCGGCCGAGACGAAGATCATTTACCACCTGGACGAGCAGGAGACGCCGTACCTGGTGAAGCTGCCGATCCCGGCCGAGCGCGTCACCCTCGGCGACTTCAAGGGGCTCCTCAACCGCCCCAACTACAAGTTCTACTTCAAGTCCATGGATGACGACTTCGGGTGAGCGCGGGCCCGGGCCCGGTCCCCCGGGGCCACGCGTGGAGCCCGGGCCCCGTGGGCCTGCCCGGGAGCAGCGGGGGCGGCTGGGGAGCTCCCGCCCTGACGGGGCCGGGCCGGGGCTGGCTGCCCCCTGGGCCCCGGGAGCGCCCCGGGGCGGCGGGGCCGGGACCCCCGGCATGGGGAGGTGCCCCTCGTGCCCGGCGCGGGGAGCGCGACCCCCATCCATCCTGCATCGCCATCGCCTTTCCTTGGCGAGGATGGGCATGGTGACCCCGTGGGTTCTGTCTGGGCGGACACGCCCTCCGTGCGCCCCACCTCACCTGTGGGAGGCTGGTGGTGACACCCCCCGCGCACATTCTCTGGGGCTCGTTGTCCCTGGGTGCTGCCCCTGGGGACAGCCGCACATCCTCGGATCCCGCAGCAGCTCCGGGGCAGCTGCGCCATGCTAACTCCTCGTTGAGGGGGCTGGTGATGCCCTTCTTTAGGTGCCAGAGGCATCTTGGAGGAGACCTTCATCCCCATCTGAGGGTCACATCCTCCCCGCATTCAGGATGTTTGGCCAACACCTTGCCTGAGGGGGTATCTCCCATGCAGCCGACACTGGGTTGTCTGTACCAGGTTGTATCCTACTCAGGAGTGTCATTTCCCACCCAAAAGGGCCTGGGCATCTCCCGCTGTGCCTGCCTGGGGAAAGTGCCCCTTGCTCCCTCCTCCAAAAGGGTGTGGAGGTAGTGCCATGGAATGGATTTGGGGACATTTTTTTTCTCCTGCCATCCATTTTGGGGAGGGACATCCATTTTGTCAGCTTTGTCCTCCGCATCTCATTTTTGGGAAGAATGTGTAGAGAAGACAAACTTTCTCCTCCCCTACCTCCATGGAGAAGGAGTGAGAGCTCTCCATGTGCTGCCCACCTCTGAGCAAGGGGTGTGTGCAAGACTCACTGCACCCATGTATGTGTCTCATCCTCAAAGATGTCCCATGCTCAATCTCTGGTATGGAAGAGAGGTGCAGCCCTGCCTCATATCCCAGCTCCTGCAGGGCAGATATCTTCCAGCACTGTTGTTTCCATCATTCTTTTGTGATGCCCTTTGGTTCCTCCCATCACAGGTGACTCTTTGGAGGTGAGGAGGTGTGTTCTGTCCCTTGTTTGGATGTTGAACTCACTGATCTCCTGGTCAGCCCCTGCTGTCCCCTACCTGTGTAAAGTTGGTTACTGTTCTGGGGAGCAAGTACCATGTGAAGCCAGCTTCCTGTAAGACCCTTTGTCCTCACTCTGTTTTGTCCAGATTTCCTACATCTGACTTTCCTTTAGCCTTTTTGAGGACCTCTTTTGCCATCCTGGGACCCTCTTGGTTTCTACAAGATGTGACCCTTTACCATTCCTAGGACTTTGGTGTTTGAAGGAGTTGTGTGATCCTTCCTCCTCTGAAGATTTAGTGTTTACAGTAGGTCCTGTGTACGGAGCTGGGATTGCTAAGTGTTTCAGTTTTATAGTCTTCCCAGTGTCTCCTCTCAGCACCAAATACCTCTCTAGGCTGTGATTTTGGCTTGTACCCCATGTTGAACAGGGCTGGGCCTGTTTGGGGCTTGGATGAGATCTCTGTGGCTGCCTCAGCAGGGGGTGCTCTCCCCTCCTCAGCCAAATTATCCCCGTGCCCAGGTTCCCGTTAGTTTGGGAGGTGCCAGCTTTCAGATGAGGCTTGAAATTTGGAGTCGCTCCTTTGACCGCAGTCTGGGACGCTGTGCCTCCCTGAATTCCTCCTGACCCACTGGAGAGCTTTAATCCTCAGAAGCTTCCCCCTTCTCTCCTGGCAAATAGAAGTCTCCAGCCCTCATTTTCCATAAATTTCCTCAGCAATATCAGTTGTCTGTGGATCGTTTCCTGTCCCTCAGCTGTTGAGTAGCGTTGGGTGCTATGAAACAGCTGCCTCTCCCTGTCTCGGAGGGGACCATGTTCATTGGTGGGAGAAGTGAATTCTCCATGCATGCTGTTTGTAAACAAATGCTTTGGGATCCTTTGAAATGTTGTTCTTGAAGTGAATTCAAACTTGTCTTGAATGAAACATTGCCATGTGGGTGGGAGAGTGCACAACTATAAACAAAGTTTAGTAATAAATAGCAGCGTCTTGCATTGGGAAGAGGGGTCTGGTGGCTGTGAGGTTTTGTGCTGTGCCTTTTCATCTTCTATCTCTTTAAGGTTCTACATGAGGAGCTAGATGATATATTAACAAAACTCAACAATAAAGCAGCAAAGGGAGTTATAGTGGGTGATAGCAAGATCAGTTGTATCAGAAATGCATGGGATGGGATTTTTATTGTGATCAGTTCAGCTAATTTGTTTGGGAAGCATAAACTGCTCTGGAAGGGAAGGTGCAGCTGAGAGGGGGTTGGGGGCTGTGTGTGGACAGCCTATTCCTTGGAAAAGTCCTGGGCAATGAGTTGTGCAGTTGGAGCAGCATGTGCAAGGCCTGGGGTGTGAGAGACAGAGCAAGCCTCTCTCACCATGGATGCTTCATCAGGAAAGCAGTCTCTGCTGCTTTCCAGAGAGCTCAAGAATGTGCTGGTGGTTGGCTGGAACATGGTGGGAACAGCCAGAGCAGTCCAGCTGCAGCCTTGTCTCTGAGAAGCCCTGAAGCCCCAGGCAGCACACGAAATTTCATGATCCCTGGTAACTGATGTCCATGAGAAAGTGAGCCATTGGCCTGCAGGGAGAATCAGACAGAAGGGCAGGAGGCACCTTGGCTGCTTGGCTGCAAATGCATGGGCAATTAGTGAAAACTAGACTGGAGGTTAACAATGGTGGCATTCAGAAGCTGTGTGACAAGGAAAAGCATTTCTCTCACACATGTATTCCTCTCAGCTCCTTCCCTGGGGGGATTCCCTCAGGGTGCCTTCTGTCTGGCTTGTGCTGGGCTGCTGTCTCTCAGCTGGGCAGTGTCCAGCAGTAGGACCCAGGTTAAAGCCCCATCAGTGAGAGAATAAATAGATGGCCTTAGGGCAGCTGATCAATGAGGAGGAGGCCTGCAGGTCTCATGGTTCTGCTTTGGACCTTCTGCTTGATCCCTGTGGCATAAACAAAACTTTTCCTCTCATCTTACTAGGAATGGAGACATCTCACCTTCCAGAGCCAGCTGGAGCAGAATCTCCAATGTTTCCTCTCACCTCTATAGCCCAGTCTGACTCTTTCTTGCTCTTCCTCCTTTTTTCCAGGCTGTGGATCTCCAGTCTGTTATTCCCTTCAGCTAACCCCATCCCCAAGGCAGTATTACAGCCTCAGTCTTGGTGTGTGGGATTTTTCATTCTTTTGTTTATCTTGTTAATATTTGTTTGCTCTGAGAATCAGAGTAGTGATGGAGCAGCTTCAGTGTTTACATCTCCTTGGAAATGTGAACTGAGGTTCCCCTGGGTGGCTGTGGAGTTGTCTGGCTATGGCAGGAGTTAGTGCTCAGCTTCAAATAATTAAGACCCAAGAGTGGTGTCACTTCTGGGTGGCAAGGAGAAGATATGAAAAGAATTCCTGCACCTGGTCCTGGGGAGAGGAGTTGTGAGCAGCAGGAAGGCTGCAGGGTTTTGCTCCTGATGCAGTGGGCTGCAGCTGTACGTAACAGGGTGCAGATATTTGTGCCTTTGTTGGCTTTGTGTGCTGCTAATCCCAGAAGTGGAGGCACATGAAGGTCAGCTGATGGATGGTGTGAGTGTGGCAGTGCACAGATGTGGTAGACTCTTCTTGGACCTGAGATGCTTTGTGTGGATGTGTCTCACCATAAAGTGTGGAGCTACCCTTGGCTGCTAACATTGCACTCAGAGAGAGAGAAGGTTTCTTCCTCCACCTTAAATATTTTCATTGAGTGTTTTGCAGGTAAGAGCTGCGTGCTGATCAGCAGGAGAGGACCTTAGATCAGTGCAGTGCTGTGACTGCTTTTGACATCCATATTCTCCAGCAGACCTCCCCCAGGTTTTTCATGGGATTTTGAGCAGACTTTTTTTTTCTTAATCCATAAAATGGACTTTCCAGCTGTGCCTTGTCTTGTCCTCATGGGATTTTGAGCAGACTTTTTTTTTTTTTAATCCATAAAATGGAATTTCCAGCTGTGCCTTGTCTTGTCTACTTGACGCTGGGAACTTCCTGGGGAAACAATTGTGTGTCTCTTAGCATGACACAGCTCTCTGTTCCGTAGAGGTGCTGCAAGAACAGGACTGTAAATTCTCCTGGGCACCTCTGCATTTGAGAAGGGAACAACCATGGTGATGGTCTGTAGTTTGCTGGGACATAGGCTTCAGTCTTCAGCCATGTGTGAAGTGTCTCTGACCCAAGTCCATCAGGAGAAATGTACCTGGGCAGCGTGGACTTCTCACCAGCCAGGTATTGTTCCTGTTTGCCTCAGCTGAACTACAGATTTGTCTTTTCATCTGGTACAACTCTGAGAATATTCTTATATCAGCTGAAATGTGATTTCTTTTGATTTGTTCTCTGTTTCTTATTGATACTGCTCATTTTCTATTGATCAAAATGTGCTCCCACAGGAGCATGCTCAAGTTTAAGCTAAACTTTAGCATTTTAATGAGTGCAAATTGTGTGTCCATGTAAATCCTTAGCACCTAGCCTGAAGTTCTGCCTTGTCTCTCCATAAATAGTGGAGTGCTGAAAGTTTGAATTTCTTTTGCCCGTGAAGAAATCACTTTGGTGATTTTGTTTATCTTCACTTGGCCACCTCCCCTCTTCTAGACTGGAGAGCAGAAGGGCCCCATTCTTCTGCAAGGGGACCACTCCTCCCTCCCCATCCTACTGGTTCTGCATTGCTGGGAGAACACCAGTGATCTGAGGTACAGTGGTGGGATGGTGCTGCTCCTCCTGCCCCTGCTGGTTTCCCCCTCTTGCAGGTCTCCATTCCAATTTGAGTTTCGTAGCTGTGGTGAGTGATTCCTTGGTCTCAGCTGTGAAGTGAAAATTGGTATCCAGCTAATCACTGGCCCAGTATCTTATCCAGACCTGCTTAATT